CTGGCCAATTTTTATGCGTTTTGTGCTGTGTAACAGCTGCACAAAACGCATATTGTCACGGGGTTGTATGCGTGTGCCTCCGAGATTTTCTCCTGCATTTTCAACTCGAGAACCACAAAGACTAGGCGGCTGAAATTTCAGTAGTGTTTCCCGCCCACACATGACTCGGCAAACTTAAATTCAGCCTTCCCATACCTGTAGGTAACACGTACCGCCCCATAAAAGTTTTGTCGGGGAAAACTACCATCTCGTGAACCATGAAAGCTAGGAAACTGAAATTTTATGGGTATGTTCCCTGCCCATGTGCGATCTAGAAAATTTAAATTCGTTTTTCCAGTGCGCTTGGGTATCACGTACGTCCCGTGAAAGCCTTGGCGGGAAAATTATTCCGGGAACCATGAAGGCCAGGAAGCTGAAATTTAACAAGAATGTCTCTTTCCCACGCGCAAACCAGCCACAAACGGATCCAGAGCGGACCCCTCGGGGAGGAATCGGCGGGAGATGAGAAGGGGAGGGGGCGGAATAGGGCCCCTAACGGAGGATGACGGGAGGAGTAGGAGGGGGAGCCCTTCCCACGTTGAAACTATGCGAAAACTAGGAACAGAATTGTAACACTGCTATTTAATTTACGAACAGACCCGGGCTTTGCAGCACTGGTGCCTGCGCCGCTGGGAAGTTCAAAGACCCTTCATCGCCCTTCCCCCTCCCTGGATTCGTCTATGCACCTCGTAAGTTCAAAATTAATTTTTAGCCTGGGTCTAAATCACACCTCCGCGAAAGCCCCGGCGGGAAAAACCACTGACTTCAAAGCCATAAAAGATAGCTGAAGTTCTGGGGGAATGCAACTTCGCAGAATCAAATCCAGCTTTCATGTACGCTAGGGCTCGTGTGGAGCCTCGCGAAAGTTTTGGTGGGAAAAATTATTATCTCGGGAACCAGAACAGGTGTGAGGCTGAAGTTTCAGGAGGATGTTTTCTGCCTGTGCAAATACTTCGCATATTCAAATTTAGCCCCCACGCATGCAGAGGTCCTACAAACGGCCATGTGAGAGTTTTGATGCGAAAGTCACTAGCTCAAAGGCCAGAAAAATAGGAGGTTCAGATTTGGAAGGATGTTCCCTATTTTCAAATTCATCTTTCACGTATCACACACATTCAGTGGTAAACTCCTCAGCTTCGGAGCCAGACACCATACCGACTATTTTTTCACACAAGAAAGTGTAAAATAGCTAATTTTTAGTAGAACAACGTTCGCTAGATGGGACTGCACAAAATGCATGATCGCATTTTGCACAGTTACTCTGATGTGCGCCGCTACTTTTTTTAATTTCCAAAACTCAAGCCCGAACCCAAAAAGCAGCGCATACTGCGCGGTCAAGTCGGTTCCAGTCATAATCCTTCCGTCACATACTTATATGCATATACATAAGTTCGGGTGATCCAACGCCCACAAAAATATATGTCATATATATTATAAATGTGCAGAGAGACAGAATTTTTCTATAAGGTCATTTGATTTTTCACAACATTATACAAATTAAACAAAAGCAAACGAAGCGTGCCCACTCGATGAACTTCAACCGCGTAATATTTAACCAAGTTCGGGTGATCCAGAGCGCGCAAATTCTCAACTTCATCCACTAACGCTAACAAAGCTTTGTCGTTACGTTGAATGCGAATTTGTTTCATTGCCATTAGGCAATTATCGGTCAAATTCATCACCACATATACTGTACCAAATTTGCCGGAACCTAAAATGAGAACAACGCACTTATATTGCACACAGTGACAAACCACAGCATTATCTTACTTCGCATTTCACACGTTGAATGCTTAAGCAAACTAATTCGTGACGCTCGCCCCCTCCCGCTTCCTCCCGCCAAAAAGAAATATTTAGGGCCATTACCTACTACCACATGTCTCCAGAAACAGATTAATAATAAATAGCGGCGCGCACCAGGGTAGCTAGTGCGATCAAGTGTTTTGTGCAATTCCGTCCAGCGAACGTTTGCCTGCTAAGGATTTCCACTATTGTGCACATTGGTCTGTGCAAAAATAGTTGAAATGTTTTCTGGATCCCAAATTGCCAAATTTTCCACTAAACCCTGGACGGTGAACATCCTTTCAAAATCAACCTCCTATTTTTCTGGCTTTTGAGTGATTTTCGCCTCAAAAAAATTCTACGCTCCAAATGGTCATGCGTGAGGCCTCGGCATACCTGGGAACCTAATTTGAGTTTGTGTGGCCCCTGCATAGGCAGGAAACATTCTGAAATTTACAGCCTCCTTCCTCTTCTGGCTTCCGGATAATAATTTCTCCCACCAAAATATTCTCGGAAACGTTAAGACTCAGACGTAAGTGAAAGCCAAATTTTAGTTTGCAGGATCGCACGTGGGTAGGGGACAATAGCTTAAAATTTCAACTTCCCAGCTTTCGTGGTTTCCAAGATAATTTTCCTCGCCAAAATTTTCACAGGATCGTATGCGGTACCCAAACCAAAGGGAAAGCTGAGTTAAAAGTTGCGGAGTTGTGCTTGGGCAGGGGACACTATCGTAAAATTTCAGCTCCCTAACTTTTGTGGTTCGTGAGATAATAGTTCCCCGCCAAAGCTTTCACAAAGCTAAACGTGATACCCGAGCGAGCGGGAAGGCTGAATTAAAATTTGGAAAGCCGTACGTGGGCAGAGGTCATTACCCTCAGCCTCCTAACTTTCATAGTTTCCAAGATAATAATTCCCCTGCCAAAACTTTCACCGGATCGTACGCGGCACTCAAGGGCAAGGAAAGGTTGAAATTAAATTTTTGGGGCCAAACGTAGGCGAGGAACATCGTCCTAAAATTTCAGCTTTTTAGCTTTTGTGGTTCCCGAGTTGAAAGTTGCGAACATGATGCATTGAACATAAACATTCTCATACACACAGACAACCTCGTGACAATATGCGTTTCGCGCAGCTGTTACACAGCACAAAACGCATAATCAGCGGAAAAAGCAGAGCAATTTGCCAATCCCTTACCAATCTTCTTTTCGAGTCTCTGCCATTCGAACGGAGCTCGTTTTTTCGCGCTAAAATACGTTGACAGTGATAGAGCATTTCGCCCACCATCTTTCACTCGACCAATTTTGTTGTCAGCCTAAAAATTCGACAGATCAGAGGTCGCGAAAACTGCCCCGTTAAAATACCGAACATTTTGAAATTTAAATTATAACCTCTAGATGCTTGTTTCGAGTATCATCGATTTCACGTAAAAGCATCTGAATTCGTTGCGAACGAGCAATCCCATCCGTTGTAGAGAATGGCCTAGTTTTAGACAAATTTGCAAAGCAAGCATCGTCGTTCATTTTGTTATCGAAAAAACAGCCGTTCACCAAGCCAGAATCTATCAAGAAAAAGGAATAAAAATTGAAAAT